TTCCAAAAACACCATATGATTATGAGAGACTCCGTAGTGGAGAGATACGGAAATTTCGACCACCTGGGGTTCCTTAACGTGCATCCAAATCTCAGCACACGAACCTACAGCATACTTTCCTTGGCCTCGTTGTCTCTCAGTTTTAATTAATGTTGCGTCTAACAAAGAAAGCGATCTGTTAAATTTACACTTATTGGCTTCATGTTATATAATAGTCATGTCAAAGAAGAGCAGCATAGGTTGACGTGTCACCTTGCCGACGCGCAGTGGGAACTTTGCTGATTCTCGGAACAAATACAGTGAAGTGGGCCTTTGCAGCTGTATTTGCACTAGGCATTTCATGATATCCTTAAAGAGGCAGCCTTAACTGTACAGGCGTCAGTTGCATTGGGGCATGGTTGAGGTGCGCCCCAGAAAGAGAAGAGAGGCTACCGATTCAGAAGCCGTGCAAACGGGGCCCGTTTTAAGCTACCGCTTTCCAAGTTTGAAGCAAATCTCAAAGGTCCTCCAATGTTTTATAGTTTAGCTGTGCCTTTGTTCTTTTTCATGCTGCGCCAAAAGATATCAAGTCTTCGCAACATAAAAGAATCTGTTTAGAAGTGCAGTAGTGCACCCAAGCTAAGATGAAACAAGAGGTCCGGGTCACCAGTCCCGATCCTGAAGAATCTTTTTGTGGGCCTAGGAATTTGAGCTAGAACAATGTTTCTTTTTAAATGCAGTATTGTGATAAACAAGTTTGTTTGCCTAAAAAAAACAGTAATGTTCTGGTGACAAAAACGAAATGCCGCCAATTTCTTGATTTCTTTGTTTTGAGCACACTCCAGTAGAAAACGATGCGCTTTTTACCTTGAATACTTATTCGCATCCAAGAACAGGTTATATAGAATCTTACACTTCATTATCTTTGCTTCATTATCTTTACTGCCTTCTTTGAAAGAACAGTAAAAAAAACAGAACCACGGCAAACCACACGGAATAATTCAGTTTTATTAATTTATTTTGCTGAAACCAACCTAACCCGCTGATAATCTAACTCAGAATATATTAGCTTTGATACTTTTTCTTTCTTTTAAAAATAACATTTGCGGTTTTACCGTACTTCGTTTTACTTCACAATCGTGATGAACTCTTAGTAGTTTACCAAAAACACCAACGTTTGAGTATATATTTCTCGAAAATGCCCCTTCTAATTTTTGAAAGTTCTTGTGGTTCATTTCAAGGACCATATATATCATTTTGCGTAAAAAACTGTCACAATATTTCGGTTGCTAAAAAGTTGTAATGCGTCACATACGACAAAGGGAGCCTTGCGGCCGCACTGTTCATTATGGGCTGTAAATTGAAGATAAGTTGTTCAACATAAATGTATGCATTATAATCACAAAGCAACAACTCCACAACAATAAAAACACAGCCGAGTTGCCTGGTACGGCAAGGTTTGTTTTGAGATCAGGCACTCGAGAAATCCGGGACACTCGCTGCTGTGGGCACTTATATTACTTGCATTATAATAATATTGTTCTATTGTAAATATATATAATAAAACATTATCATTAGGGCCGCTTGGATGAGCTGCACTCGGACGTGAAAATTGCGCCAGAGGATGAATGAGAAAAAGAATGCATCATTTTGGAAGGTAAAAGCTTATAAGCGCAAGGGCCATATTCCAGAATGAAAACTGACAGGAATCTTGCAGTGAGTGCCTTTGCGCTCATGTGTTGCTTCCTTTCTTCTGGTATTTCAGCGAGTAGGATGACGACATAAAAAAGAGCCCCTGGACAAAAAATCTGACAGTTTCGTTCTTGTACAATCGAGACGCATGGGTTAGTATATTATAGTGTCACATGTGACATGCACTGACACATTAGACCTTAATACACTAGAGTAATACAGAGCGAATTTATTTGGTGCATGCCACTTTTTCTGCCACATCGTTGTGCTACAAACGCCAATTGCATTCAGTCGATGTGTCTTCACCCGAAATAGCCTGGTTACCATTTATATAATAGCAATTGCGGGGATTCTATGTCCCAAACTAATGATATATTGAAAGACACCGTATTGGAGTGTTTCGAAAGTTTTGATTAGCTGGTGTTCTTTAGCGTGCGTCTAAACATGCACAACTAGCCATAGCTTTCATAGAAATGCGGCCACCACTTCCGGCATTCGATCTAACAACACTTCAGTCAGTAATCAAGCACCGCAAATAATAGACCGCCGGGACACGTCCTCCCCTATTGGAATCACTTTCCTTGGGTTCAACAAAAATCTCTACCTTCACCCTCACCTTCTTCGCCACCAGTTCATCAAAAAAGAATGAATGCGAGCTTGCGCGATTTTCCGTAGCTCTCTTTTTTATATTCCTTCGGAAGCCTCTGTTGTAAGTTTTCTCATAAGGATTGATTGTTTGGCGAGTTCGTGAGAAATTTAAAGCGAGCACTAAAACAAGAACATAAGAGTGAAAGCCGAGGACACAAGCTCTTGCGGTTCAAGCTTTTGGTTTTTACTTATTTTCTTTGTTAACACGTGGCTGCCTGCACTGTTCTATGTTTGGTTCATTAAAGTAAACATTTACTCGCAAATCAGCACTCGTGATATAACCTGCGACACTTATATTCTTGTTCCTTAGAGTTACCTTTAGAATGCTAGTCTCACAATGTTGTCCTGATATAACCTGCAACACTTATATCCTTGTTCCTTAGAGTTACCTTTAGAATGTTAGTCTCGCAATGCTGTCCTTCAGTTCGATTGTTCAGCTTTCAATGAAAGTATACGCATCGTTACTCCTTAAAATATTTTAAAATGTGCTAATGCAGCGCACAACTTCTCGCACTATCTTATAGTACGAAAACGAAAATCCTGGTGCGTGAGTGTGCGTACATTGCGTGGAGTCACTCAATAGAAATTCCTGGAACTGTATTTTTAGCAGATATTATTTTAGTCCCATTAGAAAGTAACAGCCAATGATTGGTCCTGGGACATTATTAAAAACAATAGCTTCGCGAGAAGATTGCTTTTGCTCTCGTCGCGACTTTTACATAAAGACAGTGAGATTTTGTCAAATGAAATATCACTTACTTGACAAAAGAAAAGGCCCATAGTTGAGCGTCACAATATCCACAATAAACGCAGCATTTTTTCTAATCTTAGCGGTCACACTCACCTTGGCGTAAATAAGGTTACAAGCGTGGTTATCACTAAGTTACTACTCAATACCTAAATAATTGTGCATAACTTCTTTACGGTAACCTGATTTTTGTCATGGTACTTTCGCATTCCGCTTGTGCTAAGGCTATTAAAATTTTTTAAAAATCCTATTTTTATTGCAATGTTCGAGAAATGTTGCCTCCGAATATCGGAATACACGTAGATTATTAACGAGATAGCGTTAAACAGCTCGTTTCACAGAAATTCTGGTGTTCTCATTGGTGTCGGGGTGCAAGCGTCAGTCTCGGTGTTGTCGGTTGTATGCGAAAAACTACCTGGTCCATGACTAAAAAATTGACAAACATAAAGATAAACAAGTAATAAAAAATCTTCCTTGTGAATCAGAATTAAACCCAGGCCGTCTGCGAAACAAGTAAGCAAGGAAGGACAATAGGAGGGAAAGAACGGCAGGGAGGTTAACATGCCTATAGGCAGCCGGTTTGCTACCCTGTGCATGGGAGGGCGATGAGGGAGTTGAAAGATGGAACAAGTAGGTGCTTTACCACAGACTGATGCTATTGCAAAAAAAAAGCATTACATGTATGTCACTTTGTAGAAGCAGTCCCCTTATTTAGGGACGTAGACAAGAAAAGGGGAGGGGGGGACTTTTATCCCCTCCCAAAAATTTTTAAATTTGCTTGTCCATATAGACACACACATATACAAACGCCCGTACGAACAACGTGTGTGCCCCCACCGGCACTCACATTGTTCGGGCCCCCGCTGGACTGCTACATAAAGGACCAAGCCCCGCCTGGCGCTGGTCTGGAATATTCTTTGAAGGGCCAGTAAACAGGCGTTGACTTCTTTACTTCTTTTACCCGACCCCCCAAGCAATTGATTGATTGACATGTGAGGTTTGACGTCCCTAAACCACCATATAATTATGAGAGACGCTTTAGTGGAGAGATCCGGAAATTTAGACCACCTGGGGCTCTTTAATGTGCACCCGAATCTGGGCACACGAACCTCAAGCAATTTCGCCTCCATCGAAAAGGCAGCCACCACGGCTTAAATTCGATCCCGCGACCTGCGGGTCAGGCGCCAATTTCGTGCATTCATTGTGTTTGAGCAGCATGCTTTATCTGTCAAGCTGTGACGGTTGCTAGTTCACACTCGTCATGTGTTCTTTTCGTGTGACCTTTCGCTTGAGGGGTGAACTGCAAGTTTCAAGTTGCTATCCGTTCTTTGAGTGACACTACAATTAATTGTGATAGCGCTAATTCTTTTGTCTTTATGGCGAACCAATGCACAATATACGTTCAACAAGCTCTATGAGGACACGTTTACCTTTGGTGCTTTACGGGTCCCTATGAGAGAGAAATTCGTTAAGTTTTTTGCATTGTTCTTAACGGCAACCATTGATAGTCTAATTGACGTCAAACCCGCATCACGCACCGAGCAAGTGTTCATCAGTGCTATTTTAATGAACATGTATGACTAAACTACGCAGTTTCAAGAAAGCAATTAACCAAGTGTATTTAAGTCTGGACAATAGTGTAACCATGCGTTAAAATTTAATAATATATGTCTTTCCTAAGCTAATCACATCAATCTTTCCGGTGTGCTGCACATCTGTACGTTTTTCTTTTTTATATGCTACCCTTCGCTTTTATGGACCTATGTGGAAAACTTACATCATATTTGGCGAGTTAACTTACGTCTTTCAAAGTAATTCAGAACAAAGAGCCATCTAAAGCTCTGTTTGAACGAAATGAGACGTGTAAAAATGATTAATGAAAATCATTTATAGATCTCGCCTCAGCGTGCATAAATTCACAGGTATTGTGCCACAACACTGCCAGCCGAACGAGAAAACTTGGGCAGCTATCAGCATTACAATGTCGACCATGAAGTTCAGGTTCATCTTAATGCTTGCATTAACAGCCATGGTGGTGTAAGTAACCCTTTCATCACTTCCAGCAATACTAAGTGGAGCATTCACTTGTGGTCTTGCTATCTGCCCAGTAAAATCGTTGGCTCGGGTACGCTGATTTCGAATTAAGGTCTTCTACAACTGAGGATCAACACTTTCTTTTTCAGTGGATACACGTTTGTTATAGCGTTCATTCTTATCTCATCACCAATCATCGTGATGAGTGAAAACGAAAAGCGCTAGGGAATTAGGTCGAAATTGTTGGTAATAAAATTAAGACAACTGCTAAGTTGTTTTTTCTCTTCACAAGTACGTTTAGCCCGTTGAAAAAACGTCTCCAAGATATATATATATATATATATATATATATATATATATATATATATATATATATATATATATATATATATATATATATATATATATATATATATATATATATATATATATATATATATATATATAACTAGAAAACCAGAAATCATTGCCAGAGAAACCAACTAACCAGAGAAATTGTCGAAGCCTTTCACATTAAAAAAAGAAAAGAAGGATGCATTAGTCAGTCATCGGTTTCGTTAAGTAACCGAGAAGCCAGCTACCTCGAAGGACTTAATTGAGATCACTGTTTTCATGTGTCATACTCTCCTTCTTGTCGTTTCAAAATTTTGTTTCAAACACGTGTGAATTCCCGCAAAATTTTTAGATTTTTTGTTTTTTTTTGATTTGATGTTACCCAGGGCTGTTTTTAGTTATGTCATCTAAAAGTGTCTAAGCTTAACTGCCGTGTACTATCGCTTGAGTCTGCGCAAAAGCTTCTGTTGGCAATGATTCAGTGTTCGTAGTTCTTTTCTGTGTCGCTAGGGTTATGGGTTATATATGAAGTGCTGCTTCTGAAATAAAAATTAGTCGCGAGTGTAGCGAGTGTCGTGTTTTCTTGTCCTCTTCGTCCCCGTCGAATTTGCGCGACTACACCATATGGTTAAATGACATCTATGTAGAGAACAAAGAGTGGTCACCTGGAGTACTCTTTCGCTGAACTACAACCAATGTTTTGCCGGTATCTCTGTATTCCTGCCACCCGTAGAATCTCGCACTCGGGAAATCCACGCGGATACACTCGGTAATAAACATGGCTGCAGCTACTATCCCCAAAAAATCGACTTTGGCAGTCGGCAAGGAATAGTTGCTAAGATTGTGCACTCAAAATTGTTTGTAGTTTCTTGAACTACTTAACTAATTTAGTGTTGACTGACCAACCAGATATGCGATGCAGGGAAAGATCATAGTAATTTCTCATTTCCTTGCAGGAGAGTCTCAAGTGCACGTAAGGGACCCCGTGGCCTATTTGGAAATCTTTATTGTGACAGACGGGTATGCATCAGTTTTGCAGTCGCTTACGCATTTTCGATTTGTGCATGGTTATCGGCAGTGCTTCCAACCTCTCATGGCTTTTTTTTTTAGTTTCAAGGGCAGTACAAGACCACTGTCTCCTTTAGGAGATAGCTGCACAATTCCACTAGCATAGCGTTTAGCTCTGTAATGTGGGAGATACGCCAGTAATGAGCCGAGAGATCAAGCGTAGTGGGCCCCTAGCAGCTACTGGCTAAACGAAGCTAGTGTGTATAGCTCCTTGCGTTGTAAACTAGTCACGACGTTTTCATATATGCACACGCACGTCATACAGTACCTCTATAGGCACATTTTACTGCTCAGTTAGCCCAGTCTTAAGCACTTCTACTTAAGCCTATCGCGTATGCTTCAATTTTGTTTGATTTCGCAACAGTTTATACCCAAACCAAGTCGGCCTAACCAACAAGTGCATGGCATAAACATGTGCGCAACCTAAATTGGACAAATTTTCTTTTTCCTAATATAAAGAAACCACAGGTGGCAAATACCTAATAAGATTTCTATGGAGACGTAAATCAATATGATGTGCTCAGTAATGAACACAGGGACCACGCGTTTTAGCTTAGGTTGATAGTCATCCCTGCGGAGTGCTTGGTGGTCCTCTTTTTTGACCAGGTATTGCCCAGAAGAAGGTTTGTGGACACACCTACAGTAGAAGCTTATTGCAAACTGGCTTGTGGCACCACTCGCCCGCCTCTGATGATGTTTTACTCCGCTATCAGCTTTACGCACTATCAGCCATACTATATAATGTGCTCATTTCACCTGTTAGTTCTACTAGCAGAGAGACAAGCTGTCGTACACATTTGCATACATTTTCTGTCTTTTTTTGCCCATAGTTAGATTGAACACGCTAATGTGATGTCTATAGGTTTATATTTTAGTAACTGCTGGAAAAGTATGCAGAAAACACTCATTTTTGTGTATTGATATGCCCACGTGCTATGCTCTTTATATGAGATTTTGAGTCTTGTAACAAAATAGATCTTCAGTGTGGTAGTGACTGATGTGTGTTTATAAATAAGTTGTTACTGGAACGTTATTAACTACAAAAATGTTTTCTACCATTCTAGCCTTGCAAAGAAGGAGACAATGCCCGATGCGACTATCCTACATGCGAATGTGTGCGGAGAGGTGGTGGCTACTACTGCAGCTCTTTAATTTGGTACTAATGTCCTTAATAAAATCTAGCACATGACGCTTCTGCCTGGTAAAATAGTAAAAACAACTGTAAAGAGGAACACCTTCCATTCACGACAACAATAGTAGGGCACGCTACGTGCAACGATCAATTCTTTTTTCATTAACGCGTAGGCATAATGCCACAAAATCATGTCACACGCTCAAGATGCTTTATAAATTCACCTCTTGTATCTCCAATTTTCTTCACGGTGATCTTAGTTGCCTTCTAGGATTGGCAAAGGGAAGTAATGCCCTATGAACATGGCCTTCTGCAACACGTCTTTGCTATGCATCAATCCTATTAAGCGCATTCCCAATAAGAGAAGTGCATTTTTTTCCAACGAACTAACACACCGCAAGGTGGCGACCTCCGCGAAAACTTTCCACAAAAGGAAACACCGCTTAAGAAGAAGGTGAAGGAAACAGAGAAGAACTTGTGGAAAATTGGAATGCTTGCGAAATAATCACTGGAGACCTACCAAAGTTTCAAGCAGAAACTTGCAAAAAGAAAAGATCTTCGATAATTCTCGGAGTAGTTCTCTGCTGTTCAAGACCACAATGGGATTATTGCGGATCAAGACGTATCGAACAAAATACGAACGCACAGGCACGTTATGTAGTGCATGGAGAGGAGGAGGACAGAGCTGAATATTTTATAATGTTCTGTAAAGGGCTCCACCCTATAATCGAAGATATTGGCGGCAAATTTTTTAAAGCTTTGGAATTTAGGGACAGTGAAGGCAAAAGAGACTTTAAACGGGTAGAAATGTCCAGGAGGAGGCTGATTGATTGGTGGGTACAATCGAGGCACGAGTGAAATTAAATCCTTAAACACACAGTGATAGTACTTAACTTTATGGCTAGGTGGCGTGAGCCACCACCCGATCTAAAGGGCACAGCCGAATACATACATACATACATACATACATACATACATACATACATACATACATACATACATACATACATACATACATACATACATACATACATACATACATACATACATACATACGTCTGTCCGTCCATCCATCCATCGGTACCACTCACAGCATTCATCCAGATAAAAAAACATATGAGGATGCTTGAGGTTAGCCTTCTAGCGTAAGTGTCCATAGTGTAATCAAGCCACGTGCGCATCCTTTCCGGATTGGTAACCTAAACTAGCTCTCGGTGCATGCCTCAGCCGTGCCGCATGACTCTGAGTGTCACATTGGCCGTTTAAATGTGTCATCGAAGATTTATTGCAAGCACACTTTTCTAGAGCCCACTACGCCGTAAGTATATTTTTCGCGAATCAGCGAAGGGTCCACTTTGTGTCCGTAGGGCAACAGGAAGACCTACGCAGCTGTTGACTTAGTTGATCGTTCTTCCGCTGCTGCTGCTGATTAAATATGCCTGAGTGCTTTGTAAGGGGCTAAGCTTTTAAAGGGACATTGGCAAACATGAAGTCGATGCTGATTGCTGAAATAGATGTCCAGAAACCGGGCAGTGCTACTTTTGTACAAGGAAGTGCTTATTTTGAAATGAAATAACGTTTTTGTGGTCTGCATCGCGTTAGCACACTTCAAATCCCCGGCGTCAAAGTGGCCATCTCACGTCACTGTCACCCCGCACAGCGTTGCCCAGCTTGACTGCGCGGCCGCCGACCCACCAACACTAGTAGCAGCAGAGCGAAAGTAGCAGGGGCCACAGCAGCTACAAGGGCCATCAAACAATTTTTGGACCTGGCCTCCAAGATAGTAATCATGCTTGATTAGAATGGGCTACACTAGATGCCACGACATGTCCCGTTTAACCAGGCAAAAATTCAACTTTGGACCACTGGCTTCATTTCTCATAGTAACGGCCGGCGGTTCTTTTTTCTTTGAATCACCAAAAATGAACCACCAGCATTTTTTACGTCTCTTGATGCACGTAGAGTTCTTAATTTAGCACAGCTGGTTTGATTACTAATGAATAATTGTGAGTGGAAGTTTGACGTCATCGGGATCATTTAGCGAATGTACTACTCGTGGCACATGTGTTCTCTTGCAATTACTCTAATTTCTTGGTAACTGCTTTTGATAATATTGTTTTAGACATTGTTATACATCGAGCTTTCACTCTGACATGGAGTGTTATTTGACTTCAGTGTCGCTTTGAAGCACGCACTCATTTTTCAATGCACATTTTTTATGCCTAGCGCGTTTTTACGCTTCTGTCCTGCTATATGATGATGCGTAAAGCAGACTCCTTCCACTTCATGGCATTTATATATTTGGTTTTTTTACAAAACAGTTCCAATAAACGTCGTGGCTTTGTCGTAGAACATGTGCTTTCCACGCACCAAAATTCAACCCTTACAGAGACCCGGAAGTGTTTATTATTTATTCTATCTGCGTCCTACTCTATTTTTCTCGTGTACAAGATGATGATTTACCGACCACAATCACCACTGCCCACGCCGACAAGGACGCCGACAACGACGCCAACACCAATGCCAACACCGATGCTGACACCAATGACGACACCGAAATTTCTGAGAAACGAGCTTTTTAATATAGCGTAAAGAGCCGTAGCGTTGTGCTATTTGCACAATTGCTGTAGCACATACACGCTAGAGGAATTCTTCGGCGCAGCGGTCAGAGCCTGTTTGTTGGCCGTATAACCGTATTGTGTTAAAATAGCTTAGCGACGCGTGCCTCCTTATCTCTCTGTGACCGGAGAGAAAGATAAAAAAAAGACGTGACTGTTAACATGGCCATGACACTGCGTTGCCCGCTTATGCTGGCCCCGAGAAAAACAACTCTGCTAAATGGTGCGCGTTGCGTTTCACTGTATAGCCTGGTTGCAGTGTTCAAAAGTTCTTTGAAATGCCGTGCATTGGCTATCTTAGTGGAACTTCTGCGAGCAGTTGGTGACGCTGTCTGGGTGTCACATGCAGCTCCTATCATAAAACTTTCACCGTTAACTGCTACACCTACCACACGATTGATCATGGGTGTTACACGAGATTTACCACCAAACCACCAATTGTAGATGCATGAACGTGAAACGGCGCTATACATCAATAAATATTGTGCTGAAGCTGCCAAACACCTTTAAGTATTGTGCAAGCTATCTTGAACCAATGTGCAGTGTATAGATTCAACTACTGTAAGGAGTAGTTGAATCTCCCTTTTGTGCTATACCCGCACATATGACGGAAGAAGCCAGCGTACTTTTTTCGTTTTTGCAGACAATATTTTTCCGTCCGCAGACAAACCACGGTCCTTAGATGAAATCATGGCAAAGTCCTTAGATGTAATTATTAAAACAGAGCAGCAATAGAAACTTGCCGATCTATGCTCATTTCACTATTAGTGTATATATAGATATTGACACTATTGTCTTTCTAGGGAGGAAGGTACAGTGTTGTGCCGTTTGCGTTTGGGTGTACCCTTCACCAATGCCTACTCATTTAAGATTGAGATGGCCGACAGCGGGGATCGCAATGACTGCGCCGTCGATGAGACTGTTAAACACCTCTTATGTTACTGCCCGGCATACACAACCGAGAGGCTTCCCCTGCGCAGTGTCTTAAAACAACTGGACAGAAGTGATTTCACTGTCGAGAAAGTATTGGGACCATGGCACTGCCGATCCCTATTTCGAAAGGCAACGAAAGCACTGTTGCATTTTCTCAAAGGCACGGGCCTGTTTCATCGTTTATGATGTGAAACTGTTACGAGTTGGCCCAGTCAGTGACCTTTTTTCTCCTTCTCTATAATTTTCCTTCCCCTCTCCCCATCCCCTGTACAAGGTAGCCTACCGAGGCTCAGCCCTGGTTAACCTCCTTGCTACTCTCCTTATGTTCTCTCCCTCTCTCTTGAGATTGCAGTACAATGTTCACGAAAGTTCATAAATTTAACGACAAGAAAAGCATACTGCTAAACTAAAAGCGCGAAAGATGAGACTAATGAAGAAAAAAAACATGCAATGCTTCTTCTTACAAGCTCAACTGAAAGTAAGAAAAAAAAAGAAATGTCATATTGTAAAGGGTTCAAGAGAAGAAACACCAAAAGCTACTTTATTATGGGCAAACTTGTGCCCTCAAAATTATGTGCGAAAAATGGAAAAGTCCACAAGAGCATTCCAAAACAAAAACTGTTTATCCACCAACCCGCTTTCTTCTTCCTCGCTGATCCAACCCACACTGACTCGTGCCCTTGAACGAGAGGCACTAGGCGTGCGGCCAGAAGCACGAGCGCGCACAAGGATGTTGATTTGATTGATTTGTGGGGTTGAACGTCCCAAAACCACCATATGATTATGAGAGACGCCGTAGTGGAGGGCTCCGGAAATTTCGGCCACCTGGGTTTCTTTAACGTGCACCTAAATAGGAGCACACGGGCCTACAACATTTCCGCCTCCATCGAAAATGCAGCCGCCGCAGCCGGGATTCGATCCCGCGACCTGCGGGTCAGCAGCCAAATATCTTAGCCACTAGACCACCGCAGCGGGGCGCACAAGAATGTGGACGCCGATTCTTCATATTATCGGATAGTGTAATTAGTCTCTGTGGCATTACACATCTTTCGTTCCGAGGTTTTGTCTCTTTAACGTTTTAACGCGAAAGCATTAAGAACCGTCGTATACGCGGAAATTCTGGCGTGGGCTTGGGCATACTGTTGTTATAGTGGGAAAATCATCATATTGTCCGTGACCGGAAAAGTAAGCAAGGTGAAAATAAAAATAAATGATGCAGCTTTTCGGGTCCAAGTGAGGATGGAAGCATCACAGCTTGCGTGGCAAGCGGGTGTTCCAGTTCAACAATTCTTTTGGATTTAGGAAATATATTTATCTGCTTAAAAAATCTGTGAAAACAACTTTCATGCTTTACAAACATACGCGTCCTGTATACAGACTTCATAATAGGACATCTGATATCATGGTAATAGCGCGTAGTATAAGCGTTCATTGCCATCGTGCTTCAAAACATGTGCGTATGACACCGACTTTGTGGCCTAAATTCGATCACCAATTGATTCG